GGGTGTTTGTGTGGGCGTGAATTTGTTTATATGTTTAGAAAGTAAGGAAGCGGGCTATTAAGCTACTATGAGGGTAATTTTTCCGTGAACGTGAGGCATTGTGAGGACGTGGTAACTCAAATTGCATACATCTACCTAAAATGTAATGCTTTAAACGAATGACGGTTGAAGTGAACCTTTGGTATCCTTAATTAATTCTTTTCATCATGATATGTTTTGGTAGAAATTACTTCTTTTTTTATTCTTGTAGCCATTACTTCTTTTCATCCTAATAATATTATGACCTTGGTGGCCATTACTTCTTTTATCCATAGTAGTGTTATGATTTTGGCGGTCATAGCTTCCTTTTATCATATGATTTCGGTGGCTATAATTACTTCTTTTCATTTTGTTATTGTACTCGTATATGTTTAACGAAAGCTTCATGTCATTTGTTAACCAATTGTTCCTATTAGAGTTCATTGAGTCATATTTTAAAATTGCACCTGGCTTAATTAATAGAATGTTGTTTTCTTCTTTTTTCTATTCCTTCAACAGTTTTTGAAAGAGAAATTCGTATCTCTCCTGGTAAAAGAAATGGCCTAGCACATCACAGCAATGGCATCCCAGTCACCAACATACCGGGTGACCATACTGACCATCGCAACACACCCAGAGACGGCCTGAGCCCGAGGCGGGAGGATACAGAAACCCCGCACAGTTTAGCCAATGAGAAAGAGGAGTTTCCCACTCCAGTCACGAGAGTCACCATACAGATCAAGGGGTGAAAATCTGGACGGACAAGGGTTGGAAAATGGAAGACCTGGAAACAAGACAGACCTGAAAACAAGGCTGAGCCTGCGTCCGTATATGATAATTTCTCAAAAGGAGGCAAAAATAAAAAGTCGCCACTTTAATCATCTTATTATTCTAAGATTCAAGAGAATGTCGACAGACGTTGATTTGTTTTGCTTTGATATAACTGCACGATTTCTCTCTTTTCCTGCTTTGTTGGTAGCTCAGCTTTGTAAGAATTGTTTTTATGCGCGAGGAAGCCAGATGTAGAGAAAGTAAAAATCCAGCATTTTGGGGGATTTGGACGGACACACGCTTTTGTTCTCATGCTATCTGATGACGGTCCTGGCAGAAATAATTCAACAATCATGCATTGGACTACTTCTTCTTTTCCCTGTATTTTTGTCTGATTGAAAAAACTGGCGTTTGTGGTGTAGCGGTTAGGAGTTTTTCGCACTCAGAACTCCTGAGCGGAACTCCATATGGGGAGAATTTCAATCGAGAGTCTTGGTCTTTCTGACTGGATATTGTATCTCTTTCAGCCAGGGTTTGATATGACAGCCAGGGTCAGAAGTCAGCCTCCTACATTATCAAAATTTGTTACAATGGAGAAGCAAAAGCTCCCTCAATTTTTTTTTAAATTCTTCAGATATCAACATTTTGAGCAGTCATAAAACTGCTAATTGATTAATCAATTATTAGTTAGCTAATCAAAATATGCAAAACTTTCGTGTTAAGTCATTACCTGAGAATCACGTCGCCAATCATCGCTTTGCAAGGGAGACAAACATTTCAATTTATTAGGCAAGAAGGAGTTTTTTTCCTTGGGCTGTTATCGTGTTTTGAACTTCTAATAACAGTAAGTGTGTATTGTCATCAAACAAAAACATAGGCTCACCAAGGCGTGACCAATATATGTATACATCAAAGGTGCAGACTTTTGCACACTGATGTAAGTTCATGAGGGGTTTTTTTTCTTCTAAGTACACATACTCGAGCCCACTCTAACACAACCCCCC